TTGTTGCAACATTATCCACTACACCAAAAGCTTCTTCTGTTACAAATATCACAATTTACCTGTAAATTCAATACAATGTAAACATGAAAACATAATAAATAACTTAAACACACTCTAATAACGAACGAAGTGTATGAAAACATCAAAGTGCCGGCTTTGATCCACAGCTGTCAGCGTTTCAGAGGGGTGTAGTGGCGCCTTGTGGCCACACGATGGCACGCTGGTCACTATTAATGCTGTGTCACTCATTCAAACGGCATCTGAGGCAAAAGGGTCAAGGTTTCATTCAAACTAAACATGGACGTTAATGTGGAGAGAATCAAACAAGTTATCACACAGAAGTGTTGTTTTTATGGCTTCCAACCTGGATAAAAGAGGGAGAGCTAAGAGGTCACGTCCCTGTCATGACCTCTGACCTGTTCTGGAGAGGATGAGCTGTGTGTGTGTTTGCGTTTTATGGTAAAGAATGCTGTTTAAAGAAGGGGGGAATATTGATCTGTGTGCGTAATTGCCGGAGGTATTTGCAGCCTTGTGTGTGTGTGTGTGTGTGTGTGTGTGTGTGTGTGTGTGTGTGTGTGTGTGTGTGTGTGTGTGTGCGCACACTCTGAGAGGAGGCAAAGCTCTCTCTTTGTTTTGCTAGACAAGGAACAGCAAAAGAAACCAGCTGATGGAATATAAAGGCCTGATGTACATTAGAATTTGCAATTTGACTTATAAATCTCCAAATCTAATCACTTAAGTAAGATAATGTTTGGTAAAATACCATCAAAAATAAATTTCACATGTGAGAGATCCATTTATAAAATAATCCCAGTAAATGTATACTTGTTTACCTGCCCAACACATGGGAGATCCTGCAACTCTCTTATCAGAAGAGGATCTAATTAAACACATCGGCTATCTGGAAAAATGCAACAATTGTCTTCCATTGGTTTTAAAAATGTATTCATATTTATAAAACAATGCCGCCAATTTGGCGCAAAACTGAGACAGCATCTGGGAGCTTAGTGGTCAGACCGTGACGGTAATGTGGTGCAATCGTGTCGTTTTTACAAAAGAATATGCAATGGCGTAGCAGTCAAGGAAAAGCCTAACTGTGAAGTACGAGAGTGGCAGAATCATGATGTGGGGAGGATTTTGGTTAGTTTTTGAGAAATTTGTCAAAACTGAAAAACTGATCAATGGTTTATGATTTTGTTTGAAAATGATAATACATTTTTGAACAACCCAAATTATTGGTTTAAATGGAAATAATGTAGGACATGTTTTTACATTACCAAATGTTTTGTAAAGATCTTCTGAAACAAAAAAATTGCCCAACGATGATGTCTTAAACAATAGTTGTAGTTATGTTTTATTATTCATAATAATATTGCCAAAATTACAATTTGAAGAGGAAATGAATGTTGAAAACAGTTTTGTTTGGAGGACTGACTGCTGAAAAGAAAATGTTTGTGCGAAGCACGGTGGTGGCAGGGTCATGGTTTGGGAGTGTTTTTTTGCCTTGTACCCAGCACAGCTTGCAGGTTAAACACCAGACTAAATGGTAAATGGGCTGTATTTGATATAGCCCCTTATAGAGTCCTGGAACCCCCAAGGTGCTTTACAACACAATCAGTCATTCACCCATTCACACACACATTCACACCCTGGTGGTGATGACCTACACGGCTGCCCTGGGGTGCACTGACAGAGGCAAGTCTGCCATGCACAGGCACCACAGTCCCTCCGATCACCACCAGCAGGCAAAGTGGGTTAAATGTCTTGCCGAAGGACACAATGTCAGTGACAGACTGAGCGGGGCTCGAACCTGCAACCTTTAGATCAAGGGGCGTGCACTTAACTCCTGTGCCACCGTCACCCACTAAAGTCAACAAAAACTATTTTAATGAGAACTAAAGTGTTTCACTATCATAATAACTAAAAACAAAATATTTCACAGATGCCACGTCCAAACAGGCCTATTATTACGATATGTTTTGCTGTTGATGTATCTCATTTAGAGGCCGGCCGATATATCGGGCCGATATATTCAATTTTTTCTATATCGACCAAAATTTATTTAAAAAGCCACCTGTGTGGCCAACTGTCGCCACTACTAGACTGAAGAAAGGACCCGAAGGACCCCAACACACCGATTTGTTAATGTTTCTTTTATATTTGAAGTTCAATAAATATTAAAAGATTAATTGCCTTAATACATTTATATTGCACACAGTGAGTGTTCGGTTGTCTTTCACAATTAATGTGCTGCTAAAACGTATATATATCGGTATTCGGCAACACAATTCTTTAAAAATTGGTATCTGCATCAGCCTTAAAAAATACCCATATCGGCCGGCCTCTAATTTCATTTACCTCATTGGATCTCATCTCAAAAACTTACAGAGAACCCTTATTAATACATTTCCACGTGTAATTTGGTCATTTTTCAGAACAATCCGAGCTGAATTCAAATCCTAATAATCAACGCTGGAGCAGCTATTTGTTAACATTCTCTTTTTAAGAGGCTGCCTCAAGGGCTCTAGACTGCATTGTGTTTCCTTCACTGACTGTGTCCAAGCTAGATCGCTATCGCTCTGCTCTTTGTTTAGCTGCTTTTGGAGAGCGTGTCGTTTGTTTACCTCATTCAGCTTCACTGACCATGACCAAGACTGATAGAGAGAAAAAAGGAGACCGATTGGTTTTCTGTAGTCAAAAATATATAAACCCTTTGTTAACTTGTAATCCCTTCTCAGAACACAATTGCACAGAACTAGGACCAATCAGAGTAATGAACAACGTAGGGATGGGTACCTTTGACATTTGAATCAATTCGGTACTAATTCCCGGTACCTAGGAATTGATACCGGTACTTAACGGTACCAATTTTAGATACTTTTGAGTGTTTAATATTTTTATTCTCTTTTATAATTAAATATATATTTTTCTCAATATATAACCATATTTGATAAATATCACGATAAATAACATACAACTGTTTGTATTTTAACATCGTCCTTGTAGTTTTATAAGCTGATAATCAAACTGAAGCAAACATCTCTACTGTGAACTAAATTTACTGTGTATCTTCATTCCTTTTGCCGTCCTTTTTCTTTTGATTTCTCCAACTGGGAAGTTAGAATTTTCGAGGAGAAAGCGAACGCACCATTAGCTGATAACAATGGTGGCAATGGAAGCTAACATATCAAGCTAACGTTATCTTAAACAGTTTATTTAGCTGCTGGAGCAGATTAAAACGACGATGCCTGACACTTAGATCATTGTCGCTGGTTTCATCTTCACCCAATCAGCCGTCGCATTTAGTAAAGCGAAGCCAAACTTTAGAGCGCGTTCATGTTTTCCCAGTCGGAAATTCGGAGTTCCTAAGAGAAAGCGAATGCACCATTAGCGAAACGGAAGCTAATATACCAAGCTAACATTATCTTAAACATTTTATTTACCTACCGGAGCAGATTAAGATGAGGATGTCTCACTTAGATCGTTGTTGCTGGTTTCATCATCACCCAGTTACCCATCACATTTAGTGAAGTGGACCCAAGCTTTAGCGTGCGTTCTTTCTACCATGCTGCTCTGTTTACAACTGGCTCACAGGGACCGATGACATAACGCTCTTGTGCATGCGCAGTGGTCTAGGCTAGTTCTTGTTATGGACGGGTACCGAAACGAGGCACCGTTTCAAATGACGTGAATCGGTGCTCAGTCGGTACTGTGGAATTCGGTCGGTACCTTAAAAAGTACCAAATTCGGTACCCATCGCTAGAACAACGTGACGCATTCATTGCTACGAAAATCAGCCAATCAAGGGAGTCAACCATCCTCTCTTGAAGAAGAAGCAAACGCATCCATTTTCAAAACAAAAGGCTTAAGTACCACAAAGAAAAGCTCTAGTCTAAATTGTCAAAGCTGATGCTAAAGCTGTTTCAAACCACTGTTCCTGGGCCGGTGCCATCTTTGTAGTTTTTCTCTTTCGCAGGTCTTGTGCTAAGCCTGGCCATTTCTCTACAAACATAAAGTGCAGTGATTAACCAAGATACGAAACTGTACAGAAAATCTTAATTTAACAACAAAAAAATATAAAGAACACTGGGAACTATTTCCTCCACAGAGACGTGAGATTTATTATCAGTTAGTTAGAATACCAATTATTTGGTTGAGGGTCAGTTATTTGTTTGGCTAGCTTTGTTCCCCTTTATAAATGAAACCCTAGTTTAAAGCGTGACTTTTGTATTTAGCCCTGTTGTTTCTGATTCTAAGGTTTATTAATTATAGTCTGAAGAAACAAAGCAACTACTCAGCATATCTGATTTCTTGAAAAGTCAGCATTGGTATTGGCCATTGTCCAGTCCATATCAATCTACACTGTTTTACTTCAAAAATCACTTAAAATAAATGCAGTAATTACAGGAAGTGTGGATTAGAACCTTTAAATGATTTTTTATGATGTAATACTTTAAGTGGCTGTCTAAATTTAGTGTTTGACTAGAGAAACTCAGTCCCACTGCTGGTGCTGGCCAAATTCCTGTGATGATCACGCATCATTAATCTTCATTGTTCTTCTGGTGTTTGGAGAGGTTGTCTCGTGGTGTGGACGTCGCCCCCTGGCGCCTCGCCTCGGTACTGCACACAGAGAGGCTCTGCCCTCTGAGATTCCTGACACTGCCAGGGTGATTCCTCCGGTTACGGGCTACTTCCCACTGTACCCTGTCCCACTTTACAACCTCTGGCTAAATTATCAACCACAGGAATGATATCGCCACCGACAAAGGGTGAGTTATGCTTTATTATCGCCTGAGAGACTGTCATAGGGCAGATGCTGGTGGTGCCGACTCACTTGTGTGACGCTCAGCCTCTTGGAGGTTAAACTGCTTTAATTTCTGAAGCTTAAACATGTAGGTTAGCATCTAGAGCAACACCAACATCACTTGCTGTTACTGTGTATTTCGTTTAGTGTGTGTTATTTTTAGGAAACACTTGGGAAAACGCCCTTTGCTGCCTACCTGTTTGAAACGAAATGCTTCCAACTTCATTTGGATGCCTTCAAACTGCGGACGGGACCGTAAAACCCGTTTAAACATATCAATGCCCTGCTGGGTCTGGTGTCCTTCCGTCCCAGTGAGGACGCATAATCTGTTTTTAAGGCTTCGCAGTCACACCGAAAGTCCAAACAGACAGCGAGACAAGAAGAAAAGTCAACTGTGCTCCTTCACGGTTGACCGGATCCGTGTGAACCCGGCTGGTGCTCCGCGGCTCAGCTGTTCACTGGAACCTGCGACAGGACCGACTCAACGCGGACCTGTGCGGCAAAAAATAACACAATTCATTTAACGGTCCCAGAAACGCGCAATTATCTAACAGTTATGTGCGTTTTGTGTCGTTACCAAGTCATTTGGATAAGCTACGAGGCGAGGGAACCGAGTGGGTGGAGGAGGAGGAGGGGGCTCCAGAGGCCACGGTGAAACCAGGGAGTTTCCTGCTCGCGTGTGCGGGTCACAGGTAGGGCATAAGCGGGGAAACCTCCTCCTGTGCTCCGCTGGTCAACAAACTGACTCTGCCTGAAGTTTGAATCATCCCGGAGCCAAAAAGCCCCATGGGAAAAATAGGGTTTTGTGTTTTTTGTTGACTTTGTGGGTTGCGGTTCAAGGAAAGGCTGCTTTTCAGGGTTATTTATTAACAGGAGGTTGGTGCTGCCACAAAAGCAGTGAAGAGTTAGCTAACAGGTGCTTCTGGAGCAAATAAATAAATAAATAAAAAGACTTTCACCCTCACTAAACGGTTTACTTTTTAGAGCGGTGGTGGCAGTGCCATTATATGGGGAGGATTTTTATTAGCAAGTTTTTGACAACTGACAACTTGATTCATACAACGTGAAAATAAACCGATATTCAACTAAAACAACGATTTATTGGTTTAAATAGGAATTTTTTTAAATGTTAGACAATTTTTTTAGAACACCAATTATAAATTTGCTGAGATTTTAGCACACTAAAATATTTTATCTAACGATGAATATAGTTTGTCATTGATAGTGATTAGGTTTTCCAAAATATGTGGAAGACGGGAAAAAGAAGTAAAACAAGTACTTGTTTTTAGATGTGATTACTGAAATAAAATGTTCCCCTGCAGTGTTACACCTAGCCAAGTGTGTGGCACGGCGGTGGTAGTGGAATGGGTTGGGAGGGTTTTATGCCTTTAAGACAGCACCAGTTGTTTGGGTTTTTGAGTGTTCCTGATGGAGTGTTTTAACCATTTTAACCTCATGAACCCTAGGCCTTTTTATGAGAAATCTGCTTGAAAATGGCATGCCCACATTTACTCTTATTGATGACTAAAGTCGTCATTTTAAACCCAATTGCTTGCTGTCACAATTGCATTTTTTTACTGGGTGGGCGTCGGAACGAGTCTCCTCACCGTAAAGCTCTAAAGTTGATCTTCATCTGATTATGTCACGTCACGTGATCAGGAAGCAGAAAATCCACGTATTAGCAGATCGTTTTGGGCCGCTGCTGTAAAATAAGCGAGGTGCGAACTGGAAAAGCTTCCCCTGCTCACATTGCGACAACGAATTATGAAAGAACAGATAACGCTAGAAACAAGCAAATTCTTCCTGATGTAAGAAGCGAGTCTACGCTTTGTTTTGGTAGTTTTGGTGTTGACATCATAGTAAAAACGCTGGCAGCCAGGGGAAACAGCTGGCAGATAATGAGTTAACGAGTATATATCTTTAAATCAAAGCTCTGTTTGATTGCTTTAGGTCTCATTTTAAAGTAAAATCATGTGGAATTTGTTGCGATGTGTAATTATTAGTATATGTGTCACTGATTAAGTGTAAATGGACATGGAACGTTGTAAAAAGTAGATATTTTTTCTTTGCTGCCTGAAAAAATGTGATTTCAGGATGAATACCTCTTTGGAAAAGCACAGCAGTAGCTTCACACCTCCTGTGTGACTCAGCACTGGTTTGATATTTGCCATTAAAAGGTTTAAGCTAAAACCTTTACGTGGTTGTTGCTGAGTCATTCACTAAATACACCTGGAGTGCAAACAGAGCATGAGATGTTGTGTGAGATTAAGTCTAAGAGTGTTTTCTTTACACGTCTTAACCATTGGGGGTGAAAACATTCTAGACCCGTTCAGCTGTTGATGGTAAATAACTGCAAACCAGTTGCGTTTAATAATCACAACTCATTCTTGAAAGCTGTTTTTTTTGACCGACCTCTGGCCAAGAATAGGCTTGCTACAGTTGCCTAGTAACCATGGGAGGGGGGAGGGGGGCAACAGGTAGAATGTAGCATAAGGTTCAGAGACATGGTGATAGAGACTTGTAGTTAACCCAGTCCCTCTGCTTCTAAAGCACATCAGATGGGTTTAAATCTGGTGATTCGGTGATAGAATTTCACGTTTGTGGTTATCTCGGTCATGGACAGCAGCATGCGACCGGGTCCAGACCTCCGCCGAGACTCGTCCAGGCACGTCTTGTGACCGCCGCCATCGCCTACTTCCCGACTGAAGTGGAGGCACGGTTTATAAGGTCGTCTCTAATTACAGGGCGAGAAGGCGTGTTATCCTAGTGATAATGGAGGCAGTGTGATGAGGGTGTTGCGGTGATGGGGGTTGAAGGTGAGAGAGAGAGCTGTCACTGAGATGAAGAAATGAGCAGCATGCTGGAGGCTGAAGTTAGCATAGCAGGCTACTTTCAGGTTTATAATAGGGTCAAGAGGGCTGCAGCTCATTTCCATCCTTCTCTGCTGTTATTATGTAATGGAGAATACACCGTGTGCGCAATTATTAGGCACGTTGTCAACTTCTCCATCTGTTGACAATCCGCCCAGACGCTCCAAAGAGATGCACTGCTGTCCTTTGCTATAAATCTCCCATTTAAGCAAGGCCTCGATAGGGTTTAGGTCAGGTGAGGAAGGGGACCATGCCATTTTTTTTCATTCTTAAGGCCTTTACTGGCTAGCCTTGCTGTAGATTAGGGCTGCTCGATTATGGCAAAAATAATAATCACAATTATGGTGACTGAAATTGAGATCACGATTATTTAGGACGATTTTTCTATTTATGTTGATTTAATTTTTTTTATTCAGTCATAAAATTGCTCAGGGCACAATCAGGACAAAAATAAATAAGAAACAAGATGATCACTAAAATAACTCCTGATTCCCAGTATAAAAAGACCAATATACTTACAGCTCATAGTCTATGACCCAAGGGCTATAGACCTTGGTTTAACTCATTTAAGTCTAACCAGTACAGACCCAAATACCAATATCTTGCAAATACTGACAGCAAGAATTATACAGTGGCATTTATAACAAATACATGCAAATAAATTGATGTTCACAAAATGTTGCATAACATTTATTTAGTCGTGTCAAGGTGCTGTAGGAGCGTGCACTAGCACCGTGTCCTCAGAGAGATTAGTTATTATTTATCAGCGTGAGGAACTTTTTTCTACCTTATTTATAAACTATTTATTTACAAATCCATCAGTTAATGTAATAATTGTCCCAACCACAGCTGCATCCCCCACCCCCCAACCCGGTCTCACAGCAATCGGGGCAAGCTGCACGTATGTTTAGCGCGCCGCACGCGCACATTTAGCCGTTTTTAGCGGCTCAGGAGTCCGCAGGTGCGGTGTGTGTCACTCACTCTGGTTAATCCAACAGGGAGCCGGCTCTGAGCGCCGTTTCTGTAGCGACTGACACATCACTACATTATTCCCTTTCCTAATGTCCTGAAGAACGGTCCGGAGAGCAGGCGGAGTGTTTAGCTAACATGCAGGAAATGTCGACGACAGTTATCCAGAAAGTAGCTAAGGGTTACCGGAGATGTTTCTGAGGTGTTCGCTAGGTACTTTTAAGTTAAAAAGTCAAGAAGGTGGTCTGAAAAGCTGCTAGAAATAGCGTCAAAGTCGCCAAGTTGGTAACACTGTGGGAGGAGCGCTTCATTTGCAACTCAGGGCAGCGCAAGCGGGAGGAGCAAATAATCGGCTTGTTTTGTTTTTTATAATCGTTCAAAACTCAGATCGTAATCGTGATTAAAATTTGATTAATTGAGCAGCCCTACTGTAGATTACTGTGATGCGTGTGATGGAACATTGTCCTGGATAAAAATCAGGGTCTTGAAAGATGCAGACTTTTTCCTATACCACTGCTTGAAGAAAGTGTCTTCTAAAACCTGGCAGTAGGTTACAGAGTTGAGTTGGAGGCCATCCTCAACCCTAAAGGTCCAACTAGCTCATCTTTAATAATACCAGCCCGTACCAGTACCCAATCGCCACTTTGCTTGTGTCTTGAGTAGAAGTGCAGCTCTGTGTCATTACTGATTCAGCCACAGGCCCATCCATCTGGTCCATCAAACCTTTGAAAAGACCGTCTTTAGATATTTCTCGGCACAGCCTTGACATTTCAGCTTGTGTGTTTTGTTCAGTGGTGGTTGGGTTTCAGCCTTCATTACTATGGCCATTTCTCTAAGGACTGAAATGGTAAATGGTCTGTATTTGATATAGCACCTTCTAGAGTCCTGGAACCCCTCCAAGGCGCTTTACAACACAACCAGTCATTCACCCATTCACACACACATATTCACACACTGGTGGGGATGAGCTACGATGTAGCCACAGCTGCCCCGGGGCGCACTGACAGAGGCTAGGCTGCCGAGCACTGGCGCCACCGGTCCCTCCGACCACCACCAGCAGGCAATGTGGCTAAAGTGTCTTGCCCAAGGACACAACGACAGCGACAGACTGACTGAGACTCTAACCTGCAACCTTCTGATTACGGGGCGAGCACTTAACTCCTGTGCCACCATCGACACCATCGACCTTGTGTTCACCTGCGACGGTGGCACAGGAGTTAAGTGCTCGCCCCGTAATCGGAAGGTTGCTGGTTCGAGTCCCGCTCAGTCTGTCGCTGTCGTTGTGTCCTTGGGCAAGACACTTAACCCACGTTGCCTGCTGGTGGTGGTCGGAGGGACCGGTGGCGCCAGTGCTCGGCAGCCTCGCCTCTGTCAGTGCGCCCCAGGGCAGCTGTGGCTACATTGTAGCTCATCCCCACCAGTGTGTGAATGTGTGTGTGAATGGGTGAATGACTGATTGTGTTGTAAAACGTCTTGGGGGGTTCTAGGACTCTAGAAGGCGCTATATCAAATACAAAAATACACCTTGAAGCGCCTCGTGATTTTTATCTTGAGAGACAAAATATCGTTTCCTTTCTTTCTTTCACTTCTGGACACTCAAGGTAGGCTCCAGTTCTGGAATGTGGCAGCACTGGAGCATAATGCGTTTCTGGTAGCTTAACATTCGATTCTTCTCATCATCACACTCTGGTTAAATTACATTTCCACATTTGACCCATCTTTGGGGGAAGCGGTAAGCTGCAGCCGTGGCTGCACTTGGGAACTGTTTGGTGGCGGGACCGATTGTAAACGAAGACTACGTCCATCTTCAGTCTTTTTAAAAGGAGAAAGACTGACAATGCCCCCAGCTGGCTGAGAAGGAAATCGGTTTCAAAG